TAAAATAAATAATATTGCTATTTTAGCGTATGAAAATAGATAAGAAAAATTTTGAATTTTAAGCTAGCTATACTAGATTACAGTTATAGGAATGAAAGATATAATAAACACATACAAATTTGGTTAGATGGGGAAAAGTTTTCCGAAATAGGCACAAAAAATAAAAGATCCTCAAATTTTGGAAACACTTGTCAATAGCTCAACTACTGTTGGATACTTACAAGTATCACAGAATGAGTTTAACTTAAAATCAAATATTAATTATAATCTATTGTTATTTAAAATTTGAACAAATCAATATTAAACTATTAGAAGAAAAAACAGCAGTTTAATAAAAAAACAACAGATCAAGATGTATCTTGCATTTACATCGAGTAATAGGGAAAAAATTTGTCCAACTAAAAAAGATGTTTTACCATTATTAAATGATATTGAAAAAATGAGTGAATTTAATTCATTTATTATTGATCAAAAAAGATGAATTTTTATGTGAAAACGGAATGTTACTTAATTCAAGAAACATTGATTCAACAACTGAAACAAGTTCTATCATTAATTGTTAAATATGAATGATTAGATTTAGACAATGATAAAGAAGAAAAAGACAGAGTGTTACGAAATATTATTACAAATATTTCAATGCAAAGCAGTTAAATTAAGAGAGATTACCCCTCTTGGGTATTGTTCGAGAACGATAATAATCTTCTAATTCGCGATAGTCAATATTTACTTTTAAAAACTATGTTCGAAGATAAAGAAAATATTTTGAGAGTGAACAAAGACTTTCACAACGACAGTTAAGAAACACAGCTTTTAGTGACTAACTTTCTGTAAACAAACATTTAGATAACTCTTAACAATCATTGGTTGCCCTAGTTCGATTTCCAGTCGAGACATGCTTTTTCTGAATCTTTGTTTAAATCGCGCTTACAGCTTAACATTGTATCATAATCTATGATAATTTTATCTACATGAGATCCTGTTAATACACTAGCTGTCGAGCAGCCCGTTGTCGTTTGATTTCGATAAAGTTCATCATAGATATTTAGACCATCATAGATTTTGGTTAATTAATTTGAGAATTTGGTTGATAAAGATTAGCTTGTGGATTAGTAGAGCAAGTGTCGATAGACTTTTGTTGGTATTAAACGAGTTGGACGATTTTGACGATTTTCGATCTCACCGATGCCATTTTCGGATTCAGCATCGCGAAGCACATCTAGGCACTTGTCGTTCGATAACTTTTCTTCCAGGCTTAAACTCTTGTAGCTGATCAAACACTGATCACTCGAACCTTGAGGTTCTCACCACACAATGCTATCTAGTTTTTTGCGATGAGAGTTAGAGACTTCTTTCATACGTCAGAAGATTCGCCTTCGCCTTGCTTGGATTTTTCGAAAAACTCGCACTTTTTCAGTCTTTTCCTAATTTCTCCGAAAAAGAAAAACGTTTTGAAAAAACGAAGCACACTTTTGTGGAGCAAGGCAATGCAAATCTTCTGGCGTATGAAAGAAGTCTCTAATTATCATGGCAAAAAACTAGATATCATTGCGCGGTGAGAACCTCAAGGTTCGAGCAATCACCCAAGCATAAAAAAAAAATTTAGTATCGTCCGATTCATCTAGATTACTAGAGTTTTACTCGATTGCAACTACTGTGTAACGACAGTGGAAATCTAGTAATTGGGCGATTACCATATTTTTTCTAGTTGCAACTATCGATTTATCACCCGATAATCGATCGATTTAATTATTACTAGATGCACCTGCAGACGCATCTAGTTAAAAGTCCCTTTTCCAACTAATAATCTAGATGACAACTAGTCGCGTATCGCCCGATTACAGACGAAATGTATCTAGATTTTTCTCATAGGTGATATTTGCTTGGGCAGTGTTTGATCAGCTACAAGAGTTTAAGCCTTGAAGAAAAGTCATCGAATGACAAGTGCCTAGATGTGCTTCGTGATACTGAAGATGGAGAGAATACTAACCTAGAAGGTAGCCTGCACACTAGCTAGATAAAAACAGTAAGAAGCATGTGTTATTTGTACGCATGGTTGCATATGATCGTACGCAATCATACGTACGATCTTTTGGAATCATAAAATTTTGTACGTATAATCTTGTAAGATCAGATAAGATTGTACGTATGGTTATTGCACGAATCCTGCAATGCGAACCGTGTGAATTTCCAGAGACCATGATTCGTAGGTCGATCGTACCATTTCATATGTATGCAGTAATAATACGGTTATTTAAGGTCACATCTACCCATGTACGATCATATAGAATGATCCACGTGACCCCAAATTGGAATTCGAAGACTATCTTGACTTTTTGAGCCAGCAGACAGATTTGAAGATCATCTGGACTTCTATTCTAGTTGTTATCTTTTAAAAAGATATTAGAGCAAATTTTTTAAAACAAGAGTTTCCCATACAAAACGCAGACTTTCCAGTCAAATCGGTTTATTCGGACTATTACCGATCTCTAAGAAAGACAGAAAATGTCTAATTTAAGAGTTCCACGAATATTTCGGCAATTTTTTGCATTTTCTTCATTTTTATCCAGTTTTGGGTACAAGATCAATTTTCTCCTATTTCTGTTCATTCCGTTCTTCAAAAATATCTAAACGATTCCGCAAAGGAACTTTCATCTCTGGAACTTGTCATCGGCTCCCATACATTTTTCAAAACGTTTTTCCTTTTCGAAGAAATTAGGAAAAGACTGAAAAAGTGCGAGTTTTTCGAAAAATCCAAGCAAGGCGAAGGCGAATCTTCTGACGTATGAAAGAAGTCTCTAACTCTCATCGCAAAAAACTAGATAGCATTGTGTGGTGAGAACCTCAAGGTTCGAGTGATCAGTGTTTGATCAGCTACAAGAGTTTAAGCCTGGAAGAAAAGTTATCGAATGACAAGTTTCAAGGTTTTTGACGCCGTCACAGTATTTTCAGGTTTTCTGCATGAAAACTCGACAGACTCGATAAATTGAAGGAATATTTTAAAAGATATGAAAATGGTACTTTGTCTGGAACTGAGTTTGCAATCAAATGCGGCAAATGTGTTAATACTGTAAAATTACCTGTTTCATTGTAACTCGTAAATAAAATAATAAATGTAACTTATAAAGCCATGTATCAATTATCAAATTATATTAATATTGATTAGTATACAGTTGATAGAAAAAAATGAATAGTTATAAAATGAGTAGAACGATAGAAAATGTAAACGGGACGAAACGAGAGCTAATTAACAAATACGGGACGAAACGAGAGTAATCCTTTTGAGAAATTTGATTAAACTAAAATCTATATTACAAATAAAAGAACTTACGGACGACGAAGACACACGACCACTGCAATTCATATATCCTGATCCATTTTCTAGACACTGGTATCATCAGTGAAGATCTTTTGAGTAACTCAGTTTTTAGAGAATTTCACGGGCTATCTAACAGTATATTTCTCAAAAATGTATATTTTTTCATTATGACAGAAAAAATTACGAAAGGAGTATTTTAGAGCTGTTTTCTGCCGTCGAATGTTTGTTTTGTATGTCTTTGATGACTGGTCCCACCAGTGAAGATATTCTGAGTAGCTCAGTTTGTAGAGAATTTTACGGGCTATCTAATGCTGTGTTTAGTTTGCCATTTCAGTGTAAGGTAGTTGAGAAAAATCTGTTGTACTCATCATATGGTGGCTTTTTAACGGTGCTTATTGAGATGCTATTGTTCAGGAATTAACCGTGTTTTACCTGACAAAAGTATCTGATTTTGCCGAAAACGGAATAGAGGCACTTTTTTACTACATATGGATCCATTTTTAGTCCAAAAAGAGAGTGGGCAGATTCATAACCTTATACGGCCTCCTCCTTTTAGATCTTGCAGACACTGGCAGTTTGCCTTTGTAACTTTCAAATTAAAAAGCGATCAGGTGGGATTCTCGAAAGTCGTGGTGCAATCTGGTGTAAAAGTAAGGTGTTCCAAATTCAAAGTTTAAGCACTATTTTACTTGTGGCTTAACCATACATCTCGATAGCAAATCTCGCACTGGTCAAGAACACGTGGTTTTTAGTCTCTCTAGTGCACATTATCAGTGGAACAAATTCAAAAACTTCAAAGGTCTGCTTCTTCGAAAACACTTTTGAAAATAAGAGTGCTTAAGAAACGATGCGATTTGCATCATGCAAAGGTATTGACTATAAACATGGTACTATTAAATTCCATATGAAAAATGGTCCCAGAGGACGTCATTCAATTGAATTTTAACTCCTAATTATAAACATGTTCTTAGTTTTACTAGAAAAAGCTTTCAACTTGAAAACAGCATTTTGCCATTAAAAGACGATCACGGTGATACCTCACTCTGGACAATAAAAATACATGATCCCAACAGAATATAATACACTTTTTAGAATATTTTCGCGCAAATCCAGTTATGCGACAAGCTTTTCTAGTAAATATATAGCTTTCTACTGAGTTTCTTGTTATTTTGGAAAAGTAGTAAAAGAACTTAGCTTTCGTACATTTCCATTGCTTCTCTACAAAACAGCAAATACACATAAAAATACATAGTTATATTACCTATCTAGCAGTAAAAAGCATTTTGAAAGAAATGAAAGATCCCTGAACACCAAATATCACCTCGGTATACGTCGATCCATCCTATCAGTTTTCTCAAAAACCAAGTTTTCAGACACAGAAAATTTAGGAAAAATATGAACCTTCTGAAGCTCTACAAACTAATTGTATTTCCATGTTGATTGAATGAAATCATTGAAATCATATGTATGCCTTACTTCTTCTGCCGATTTTGCTCCCGATAAAGGTAAAGTTCATTATATCAGTTTCTAGGCTTTTAAATTTAAACGAAGACTAAGTTTATGATGGAACAAAATCTCATTAAGCTAACAATGAATTCAAGATCACAAACCGCATCTGTGGAAGAGTAAACTCAGATATAGTAGCGACCAAAAGCTAATTTTATGTACAGTAATGATCAATTTATTTGTGAACAATAAAATTATTTTTGATTATAGTTTTATTTCGTTGTGGTGGATCGTGATATTTTTCTTCTTCAATCCGACGTTTAGCTCGATTAGCGAGAATAATGTCCGTTGCTCGTACATACGTTTGATTGTTTGATTTTATTGTTTGAGGTGCTTCAGGTGGTAATTGATAGTGTACCGGCGTTTTGATTCGATAACGGCGAATAGCAAGGGGCTTAGACAGAGACTGTTGGTCAATAATCGGTCGCTGTAATTGAGATATCGCACGAGGTGATGGAGTAGTTATTGATGGATCGCCTTCTTCGAGCACATAGACGGCTCGACGAATAGGACGTTGATAAACATACTAAAAATAGTGTTTATACTGGTCTTGTTATAAAACTACAATGTATTAAGACTCTTTGGCGTTCAAGCTGACTACTGACGTTTGTCAAAGAGCTATTAGTTCTACTTTCCGTTAAAGGCTGAACAACTAGACTGTGACTGTTCTGATTCCGATCTCAAATTTCATAGTGGAACAAAAATCGAACATATTGGCGTCAAAAAACTTTAGAAGAATAAAATACCAAAAAATGTGGTGAATTTAGCTAGTATTATTCTCTCAAAATAATAGCCTTATGAAGAACAAATCAATGTCATTTTAGATTTACAATCATTCTCTAAGGATAGAAGTGCACTCAAGACAACGATAAAAGTAGGAATAACTCGTTATTTTTATATTTCGGACATTCGATTTCCTGATCAAGAGGTAGCATCCATGCATTCGTTCTTACTCGAACTTCAGTTGGCAATGATCGTTCCTTCACAACATATTCGCTTTGATCGTTATAACGATTCCAATCATCATTTACATAGGCCCGTCGCACAACATGTCGTTGCCGAGGAGTCGGTTGTTCAACGTACTGGACTCTTTCGTAATCTGGTTGCTCATATTCGTAGTAATAGTCGTCAGCGTCAGTCGTTTCGTACGGTCTGTACTTAACCCTTGCTATCCTCGGTTTAACGGGCTGATCAAACATCGTCTCATCTACATTATCAAGATCATACTGATCAGCGTATTCAATTGGTATGTGATAAATGACTTTTCGATCAACATAGTCTTTCTCTACAACTTAATAGTCATCATCGTTATTTATGCGCGGAGTTAAACGTGGAGCTTGAGATACAAAGCTGCCCATTGTGAAGTTGTGAACGTTAAAATCAATAATTGTTGTTGCTGTACATTTTCCAGGAGTGTGATGAAATTTTTTCTCTTTTTGGTTGTCAAATAATGAAATGAAATATTCTGTTATTGACATCAGAGAATGGATGCATACGTTTGTAATTTCATCTTGTCCTTCTATTCTGATCAGTTATAAACTTTTGTAAAAGAAAAGAAATAAATACGAGAGAATTCTCTCCAGAAAGTATCACAATTGAAACGCTTCTTTCAACGCTTACATCATTAAAAATCTGGTCGATATAAAGTCAGTGCCACAAAACTAATTTCGTATGTAATTTAACATCAGAATATCTTTGACGGATGTACAAAATATGTCAAGTTCTACCTGGTTCATGCACTAATAAACACAGATATAATTCATCAAATATATTTGTTAAAAAAAATAATTGAAATCCCCATAACAATGATGATTCTAAATGATGAACACCACTGAGTTTTTCAAAAGAATATGGACGACTACTTATTATACGAGTTAATGTATCAGCAATATTCAGAAGTAATAGATAACAGGCACAAGATGATGATGATCGAAGTTGTTGTTGTTTTTTTGAGAATATCATTATACTCAAGAATTTACTCATTATTCGTAAAATTTCTTTATAAAAATAAATATTGCATCCAAAATATTCGTTAAATATCGATAAAACAAACCTGTAACAACAAGAAATAGAACAACCACATTAATTTTTTCTTCTATTTCATCGATTAATATTGTCTTCGATTGATTATGGCACAAATTGATGATCAGAACATCAACAAGACTATCTAAGTAGAAAATACACAAAACAGCTTTTGTTGATTCTAAGATGAAATTTGAGACTACGATCTATAAGAATAAAAGGCAGATTGACGCATTGATCTCGCAGTTCAAATGAATGAAGGTGTTACACGCAATAAGATCGTTTTCTGATAGTTTCGTGTCTCGTAAGATGTATCAAATTTAATTTTTATATATAGTTTTGGTTTGAGCTAGTATTTGTATATGAAGTTGAGTTGTTAGGCACACCAAATTGGAAGTTATAGCACTATTTTATGTTTAGTTGAAATATACACCAATCGATAGAGAATTTCACGCTGGTTAAGAATAACTTAGTCTTAGTTTCTTTAGTGCACGTTATCAGTCAGAAAAATTCCAAATATTCAGATGCGCTCTTTTCCCGAAAAATCACCAACCTTTTTTGAAACCTGTGTAACTCTGCTCCAAATGGAGTTAGCGTTTCAGAAAGGTGTTTTTCTTAATCAGCATCTGAAATTCTATCTAGAAAAGTGTTTTTAAAGGTTTCACATGAACAAATGACTTCTGAGCGCATCACTTTTCATCTATACCTCAAATTAGAAGGGGGTCATCTTGTAATATCGCAGCCTTCTGGTAAAGGGATAGAGTCAAGTTTCATATGCCATTCACTTCGTCTTGGAATGTAGAACAAAAGTACGTATCGCTTTTTCTGAAATTCGTTTTTGTTACAGAAATATTTGATTTTAATTGAAAATTAGATATATTCGCCCAAAATGACCAGCTGATTTGCAAATTAAATGAGTTATTTTAACTCCACACGCATGAAAATCCGGATTTCTAGATAAAAATGATCAAAAATCCTATGAAAACATTTTTAAAAGTTTCAAAAACCCTCCAAAGGATTTCGTAGCAAACCGGATCTTCAGAAACCTTTGAAAGTCAACCTCTCCGAAAATCATCTAAATCGATCGAGAATTCAATTCTGATCCAAATGAGATCCTTGGGTGCGTTCTGGAACTTTCCAATCTAAAGAAATCACCAAAAATGTGTTAAACAAGAGCAATTTTTTGTTTTTGCATAAAAAACCTTTGTGCTTAACGCAATCATCCAATATGTAGAGTATATTTCTAATCTATTGAGTTGTGCACGAATTTGGAGATAGTGACATGGGTAAATGAATGGTGTTTCATGACTATCGAGTGGCGGACGTAGACCAGATGGTACGGAGAAGATCAGCGTGCCATCGTCGACATAAAAATGATCATCATCAACGTCCTAAAATACTAGTTCACCCATATCTGATGTGTAAATAATGTAGATGGGGGCCGAAAGAACATTTCCTTGGGATAGACCCCGAACGAGAGAAAAAACAGCCGAATGAAAATGATGAAAGGAAATAAAAGCCGTTCCATCTTACAGCCAATCTTTAAGTCAGAGCCAAAGGTTGACTGACATTGAAAGTCTGGTAAACTTCACAAGAGGTGCAGCATGCCAGACCTTGCCGATCACAGAAAAAAATCGAGGAAAATAACTAAACTCGGTCGATTGGAAGATATAGAGAAATTCGAAGTTGTTCCATCAATGATAAGACCCTGGTCTGAAGTCGAAGCTGCTTATCCATTGAGTAGCATTCAAGAATCTTCCCTTCCACCTCAACAACCTCTCTTTGCCTATCTATCTCTTGGTTCATACGGTTTTTGTACCATTTTCCAAGCCGATTATGAAATATCGGCTACTCGGCAAGAAGTAATTCGTGATAACCTTTGGAATGAATAGCTCAAATCTGAAATGGTCGATCTTCCATTGGTCTATCAGAAATTCTAGAATCTATCCGAACTTCTCACCTTGGTGACATCATTAAAGGATATTCACCAATATTTAGCCGTTTTGAACTTCCCCAGTCTGGCTGTCCGTCTTCCACCCATATCCTGGATGGCTGCATTTTTCCAAAACGCTTTCGATTTAACATAAAAGTCGAACAAAAGTTTGGATAGTTCGAAGCTGTACGTTAGTAATTTCAGAAAAACCAACATTCTACTTTTTGACGACGTACCTGGTCGTGGATAATGGGCTGTACACCGAACTTCATTCTTCTTAGTCATTGTTTTGTCTATTGTCAGAGTTGATTTTCGGACGTCACGATCGGCTCGTCGTTAGATGAGATTGTGGGGAAAAAAAACTGCTGATCGATTTATAATTAATCTTATTCCAAAGCGATACAATAGTACGCAAGAAGTCAATTGTTTTCTATATTCACTTCATAACAAAGTGAGCACAGTGGAAAGGTCTGACTTTTATATTTATTATTTCATGTTTCAATACGTTAATAGACAAGAGCATTTAACACCTAATGGGCATCATTCAATTGCCTGTTGTTATAGCATCTCAAAATGGTGAAACATAAATCGAATGGGTTTCCACCTTCCAAATGTGTAATTTATTATTTTACTTTTATTTTTATTTTAATATTACTATGTGAGGTAAGTGTGTTGCGTTAATTCTATTCTACTAATCCTAAAGATATTAAAATTTTATATTTTATTGTGGATGTTGGAGCTGCGGTAACAGTATACATCCAAATCTAAACCATGAAACACAACTTGATCGGCGGTTGGAAGAGATGAAGAAGGAATATACCTATTTGATGAAAGTGAGAGGGCTTGGTACTCTTGTATTGTCTCCATTCTGAATTGTACTTTTCCGGAACATCATAATTGTTTTGATACTCTCCTTCTCTGAATTAATTAATTAAAATTCAACCGGTATATCTAGGAGAGGCAGCTTGTACATCAACAACAACCGAAACATCTTCAATTGAAACATTGTGAAAGTGTCTCTATTGCTCGGCTGAAGAGCAATAATGATACCGACTTACGTTTTTCGGCTGATACGCTTGCACAGACCGTATTCCGTCAGAAAGCATCAGAACAAGTTCAGAACCATGTCTCTCGTTCTTATGAGTAAACAGGTCACTTTAACGCCCCTACTGTTTTTAAAATCTGCTCATAAGTTCGTGTACGAGGTAATGAAACAAATCGAATTTCCATGCAGGTGCGATTCCACTTAATATAGATTTTCACCAGGTTTTGGAATTTTTTCCGAAAAAAAACATTGCCAGGAGACTCAGCGTGATGGATAACCTGAAGCGAAAGATCAAGATTCATCTGATCTGGAAAACCATTAAGTCGAGCCTTGAAAACCTGCGTATAAAAAGTCGATTTTGCGGTAATGAGGCAAAAAATCTTTGGTTGTCGAGTGAGAAAAGGGAATTTTTCTGTTTCGACTTTATGAGAATGCATGTTGGTTTGCTTTCGACGAAACGAAAACACTAGTACATTACTGTTGTATTAAAATTTCGTATTTTCTTCTGAATGAAACCCATTTCAATGTCGTTCGATAAAAAGTGATTCATTTATATAGTCCTTGACAATTTTGTAACATGAAACACTCAACAGATATTTCATAAACAAATCGAAGACACGCGACGTAATAATAATGAAAGGAGGCTAGAAGAACGTATTGAAAAGCGCCGTCGAGGTGAACGTAATAATTAATCGTCAACACTTGGTACAAAACAGCACACACGTTTCATTTCTCAACTACTACAGCAACAACAACAGTTTATCATCGATATAAATTAAGAATAAGAGCGGACCGAGGACGCTTCCTTGAGGAACGTCTCTGTTAACCCAAGCGCGAAAAAAAAACATGGAACGTGCGTCGGAACCCCGTTCAAAATTTCGAACTCCGTTCCGAGCCCGTTCAAAACTGATATAATTTTTCAACTGCGTCCGTTCCACACCCGTTCACAAAT